AGCAGCCTCCAATCCTGCACTACAGTCATACCAAGCCATAGTGTCCTGGTTTTGTTATGGTAACCCCAAGACTCACAGTCAAAATGCCTGGCATAGCTGCCTTGGTGGTGACACCTCATCCTGGGAGCCCCCGTGTGAGCGGCACAAAGGGGAATCTGGCTGAGACCACGTCCCTGGGGAACCGACCACCCGGAGATCCACGCTTCTCTCCTGAAACCACTGTGAAATGTCGCGCTTTGCTTTGGCCCTGGGACTCATAGGAGAAACCATCCCACGTCACTCCCCACTCCAGAAAACACCAGTTTCAGGGAGTTTTCTGAGTTTTTAACCGGATTATTTTGAGCACAACAAGTGCTGGAAACACTGACATGTGAAAGGTGCTCTGATCAAAAATTTTTCTTTTCATTTCAACATTGTTTGGAAATTAAGGCATATAATTAAACAACTGTAAAGAAATTGCATTTTCTGAACACCTCTAGTTCTGTCTATAATTACAGTAAGGTGTTTTGTCTTCCAAAAGCGTATAACTGGGTGACTATTAGCAATAACAATGCTGTGTGTTGCTATCATTAGGAAAACTTATTATCACTACAATTATAATAACCATCAACTAATAAGAACAACCTGTTGAAAAACAATGATAGCAATTGCTACTACTACATGTACAATGCTAAATTATCTGGTGATGCTCATCGAGACAAAAAGCTTCTAAAGTAGGGGGGGATTATTTGCTTCCAGGGGGTGGTTTGCATTTCAGACTTAATTTTATCATTCTTAGACTAGATAGAATTTTTAACATGTTAGACACTAACACTTAGCTAGAGAGTCTCTCTGCCGACTTTCACATTGGTACTGAAGTTGGTCAGCTTCTTACTGTTATTTGAAAAGTTGTTTTGTTTAAATTCCATAAAAGGCAGCAAATTTCTCCACGCCACTTCTTTTAGAGGAGTCGCCTTTCTGCGTGCAAGCTTATACCCGACTCCCGCCAGCATGGAGCCCTTTATGTAGCCAACAGCCTCCTTCGGACTAAAACTAACAGAAAGCGCAGAAAAGCCCACAAATCCCACTCTTGACTTCACAGTCCATCTGGAAGTGCTTTCCCAATATTCTTCAGTTTAGCATGGAAGAGATGCTCCAGCTGCTAGAGTCACGTGTGCCAGCGCTGAAGGCAGCATCCCCCAGAGGATGCTTCTCTGTGAGTACACAGACAGGACCTCTGCCTGCTCTGGCCACCCAGGAATAAAACAGCATTTCAGGAGCTCCATTAAAAGCCAGACTTACCAACTTCATCAGTGAGAGCAACCGGAGAGAAGTGCCTGGCAGAGCCCCGTGATGGCAGAGCTTTTATACAGTGCCTAAGTGCCTTAGGGGAGTGAGGTGGTTTGGCTGGGTGATGCTCTAATTGCCTGCCAGTCCTGGCTGAGCCACGTGCAGCTTCGTGC